ACTTAAAATAACCTCTGGCACATGGAAAACACTCAGTAAATATCAAGTATTATTGACGTTATAATGTTATTTATCCTGCAAGGATAGACATCTAACACAGTAGTTGGTTAATGGAACGAGCCCAGTAAAATGCCCCCAGTTTTATCAAAACTCAGTTGTCACTGAGAGGTGACAACTACTGGTAGAAATGCCCATACAGGCAAGAAAGTAGGCCTGCGGTGCCAGTGTACTGAGCATTTGGGACATCTACACACCCTCCCAGTGGGAGTGAAGGACCAACCTGAGCAGAAGAATTGGGTGGTGTAATCTTCTTAGGACAAAAAAGCCACTTGCCTTGGATTACTTGGGGGCAGTTTCAGTTCCCTGAGCCTCAGTTTTATCAACAATAAAATGGAATAAATTGCCCCCTGCTTGTCCTTCAGAGTGAAAAAGGACGAAGCCTGCCACAAATGTGCAAGCCAGTGACACGCACCATCACGAAACCCATAGTTGGGCCATCAGGACCCACCTGAGGGCCATGCTTCGGTGACATGGTGGCCCTAAACAGGGTCGCTTAGGCATTTCTCCTTCACAAAGTCAGCTATTTGTCAACCATCTTCTCCCTGAATGGATGGAAGTCCGGAGGGAAGACCACGTGTTCCCTCACTTGAGGCAAGCAGTCCATTGTCCTTTGACAAGTACACCTCACCTCGAGTTTGGTTCCAAAAATCCATCCATCGCTTTTTTGAAGAGTCTGCACCTTTTACCAACAGGCATGAAAAACAATAGCACAGTTTTACCTCAAAGACCTAATTTCAAAGACGTTTAGCTCCTAGTGAACAACTCTGCATTCTGTCTGACTGGAATTGTCCCGTTCGTGCAGGCAAGTGTCCTCTTCTTTAAGCCACATGGTGGCTGTTAAGCCTAGACGCTGCTAATGCTGCCGACAGTAAATTAAGAAGAAAGAAAGTGGCCTAATGCAGTATGAAGCGGAGTTTGTGATTCCTATAGGATACAGCATTTTTTTTCTAATATATCTTCAGAGATCTGTTATCTAGGCTTCTGGAGAATTAATTCGATTTTGCTTAAAGTACAAGAACAAATCCTCCAAGGAAGACACTGGGAGATGATGGTTTGTGATGGTTCCCAGGGCATACTTTCAAAAATAAAAGTCACGGACCCTGCTTCTGCTCTGTCATACTGGCTTTGTGACTAGCCTGGGCTTGGCTAATCCTGATCTTAAAGGTAGAACCCAGTTGTTTAATTTATACCGATATTTTACTCCCCCTACCCGCATCGCATACATAGGCCATTTTCCAAATCCAAGGGCTTAGAAAAAAATGATCTTGATTCGTAATATAGCATTTTAATTATTATACATTATTCAATATATTAGAATTAAATAATTACCTTGTCTGATTGTTTTGAGGTTTAATGTATAGAAATATATATATGCCACTGGTACAGTGTACCTCTTCAATAGATGCTAGCTGTTTTATTAATATTATAGTTACTATTTATTTTCTTTCATTTCTCCTACTGTGCTAAGCATTTTACATAATAATCCCACCACCTAGAATCCATTAGACACTGTCAAAACCTCTGATGTATATTCAGTCCTAAGGAAATGGGTATTATGTTTATTACTCCCATTTTACAGATAGGACTACTAGAGCACAGGGAGTTTAAATAACTTGCCCAATATCAGAACTTGTAAATAGCAGAAAAAGATTTTGAGCCCAGAGTCTGTTTTCTTAAATACTAGGTTGCTCTAAGTTGCCACAGTTAAGCCTCATAAAAGCTCCATGAGGAAGCTATTATGATCTCCATTTTACAGATGAGAAAACCGAAGCTCAGAGAGGCTAAGTCATTTGATTGAAGCCATGAGCGTTATAATTCAACCCTAAGTATGTCCCTGAAAAGTATGTATTCCCTCTGCTCTGCAATCAGGACAGGGCCCTAAGTTGGCAGCTGCCCTGGTCCCCGCTGGTTCGTAAACTCACCTGAGTGTGGTCTTCTCAAAGTCAAGAAGGGCTGCATTACAGTGCAGAAGAACTGAGAATGGTGCCATGGTAGTGATTTTAAGGAGCCCACTGTGTGTAGATCTTGCTCTCTGGCTTGTAGAATAGGCTTGTAGTCATGCTGCGTGATGGAGCAGGAGCGTGGCACAGCCCCCTTCTTCCAGGTGACCACCACATCACCAGGTCTGGTGAGCAACACACCCCATCCCACTTCACTTCTCATTTGACATGGTTCATTATTCCTTCCTTCTCAAGATACTTTCCCCACTCTTGGCTCCAAGGCACCTTAGTCCCTTAATTTCTTCTCTACATCACTGGCTACTCCTCCTCTGCTCCTTTATGCAAGATACTCCTGCTCTTTCTGGTCTCTAAATGTTTGAGTCTTTGCACCTTCTTTTACACATTCAACATCATGGCTGTAATACTAGCTAAATACTCATCAGCTTCATATCTTTAGCCTCAACCCTTCCGTGGACTCAAGGATTGTCTAAGTCTCCTAAGTGACATCTCCACGTGGTTGCTTAATTACTCTCTCGAACTAACAGAACTCTTGCCCTACCCCTACCCCCATGTATTAGTTATCTATTGCTGTGTAATGAATTATCCCCAAACTTAATGGCTTAAGACAACAGTAAACACTTACTATCTCACAGTTTTTGTGTATCAGGTCTCTAGGACTAGCTTAGTTGGATGATTCTAGCTTGAGTCTCTCACAAGGTTGTAGTCAAGATGTCAGCCAGAACTACAGACATCTGAGGGCTTGACTGGGGCCAGAGAGTGACTTCTAAGATGGCTCACATGGCTGTTGGAAGAAGGCCTCAGTTTCTAGCTGGCTCTTGGCAGGGGGTCTTGCCACTTAGACTCCTCCATAGGATTCTTGTGTCTTTTCCTGACATGGCAGCTGGAACAAGCAGAGCTAGTGATCCAAGAGAGAATGCAAGCCACAATGTCTTTTTTGGCTTCAGAAGGCTCTTACTATCATCTCCATTGTTTTCTTTTGCTCACACAGATCCACCTGATACAATGAAGATGGATTACCATACCCCACAAACCTACCCCTGCCCCTGTATTCCTCAAATCATTAAATGGCCTGATGTTCAGACTAAAATCCTGGGAGTCGGCTCTGATTCTCCTCTTTCAGATCCTCTAAGCTAATCCATCAGCAAATGCTGTCAGCTCTATCTTCAGACCCTACCTTGGAGCCCACCATTTCTCACCACATCTACGAAACCCACCCTAATCTCAGCCTACACTGAGTGCAGTAAGCTAACTGGCATCCCGTTTCCACTCTTACCACCAATGTCTCTTCTCCAGCAGCCAGAGTCAAGATCATGTCACTCCTCTCTGCTCAGCAACCTCCAGTGACTCCCACCTCACTCAGAGCAGCAGCCAGCATCCTTTGCCATGGTCATCATGATCTGGCTACTTGGCTGCTGCTCCGTTCATCTTTCCAAACTCTCTTCCTCTCCACTCCGGAAGAGCCTCCATGCTGGTCCTCAGGCCATTTGTGCCTCAGAATTCTGTGTGTGCTGCTCCTTCCGCCTGGACCACCCGCTTCCCACACAGTCCCAGGGTTTGTTTCTTCATTTCGGCCAGGTTTCTGTTTTAATGGCACCCCCTCAGGGCAGAAAGCACGAATTGCTTTCCCATCTAAGATTGTACTTTGTTACTCTCAACCCCTTCACTCTGCTTTGTTCTTCTTCATACTGGACCACATACTGTAGATTTATTGGTTTTCTTGTTTATCATCTGTCTCTTTCTCCAGAATGTAAAATCCAAGAGAGCAGAAATGCCATGCATTTTTTATTATAGATGGACGCTCTCAGGGCACCTGAAATGGTGCCTAGCATGTAATGGTTGCTCAAATATTAATTTGTGGAATAAATGTGCTACCTAGGACCAATCAATTTATCTAGCATAGTGCTACCCAGTAGAACTTTCTGTGCTGGTGGAAATGTCTGCATCTGTGATGTCTGATATGGTGACTGCTAAAAAAAAAATACTTAAAATGTGACTAATATGACTGAGGAACTGAATTTTTCAATTTTAATTTTATTTAATTTATATAAATTTTAATTAAACAGCTACATATGATCAGCATCCACCACCTAGATCTTTGGGGTGGATGGGGTGGGAGGGGGAAAGTAAATGTCATTTCATTCCATGGTCATCGCAGTAGAGACTTCCTGGGGCACTGATTAAGAAGGAGCCTGAGGTCTAGTCAGTAAACCTTTTCTGAGTGCCTTCTCTGTATCTGGCTCTGTGTTGTCATCAGGATCTTAACACAAGAGTCCATTGATTGACTAGTACTTTCTGCCCGGGGCAATGAGGCAAACGTGATATGATGTGGTATATTCACCATCCCTGATGTCTGTCACTCCAGGGATGGCCAGAGCTCCTTCCTGATCACTGGGAGGTGATTGCTGGCGCCTACACCTAGTGTCATGTAAGCCACTCAGTGGCTCCCCCCAACATCTGCTCTGGCTGTCCAACTCATTCTTCTCCAAGTTCTCCCAATCCATTCTTCAAATCAGAGTGGAATGTTCTTTGCTGGAATCTTTTTGAGGGCTGACAAAATTCCCTTTCACACAGAACCCCTGCAAATTTTGGTTATTTTTAGTTGTATGTGTACTTATTTGGTGTGAACATTGCATATATTTACCTTCTTACTTTACAGTAGTTCCCCCCTTATCTGAAGTTTAACTTTCTGCCATTTCAGTCACCTGTGGTCAACCAAGGTCTGAAAATATTAAATGGAAAATTCAGGAAATAAACAATTCATAAATTTTAAATTGCACACTGTTCTGAGTAGAGTGAAGAAACCTCACATCATTCCACTCCATCCTGCCCAGGACATGAATCATCCCTTTTGTTCCCTGTATCCACGCTGAATACGCTACACACCTTAATCATTTAGTAGCTTGTGTGTTGGCTTCCTGACTGACTGGCTGTGGCATTCAAATGTAATTTGAATATTCTCCATCCTGTTTGTCTTTTCAGGTGGATTATGATCGAGCACAGATGGTCCTTAGCCCTCCACTGTCAGGGTCTGACACCTACCCCAGGGGCCCTGCCAAACTACCTCAAAGTCAAAGCAAAGCTGGTTATTCCTCAAGTAGCCACCAGTACCCATCTGGGTACCAGAAAGCCACCCTGTACCACCACCCCTCCCTACAGACCAGCTCGCAGTACATCTCTACAGCTTCTTACCTGAGCTCCCTCAGCATCTCATCCAGCACCTACCCGCCACCCAGCTGGGGCTCCTCCTCAGACCAGCAGCCCTCCAGGGTGTCCCACGAACAGTTTCGGGCTGCACTGCAGTTGGTGGTCAGCCCAGGAGACCCCAGGGAATACTTGGACAACTTTATCAAAATCGGGGAAGGCTCGACTGGCATTGTATGCATCGCAACCGAAAAACACACAGGGAAACAAGTTGCAGTGAAGAAAATGGACCTTCGAAAGCAGCAGCGACGAGAACTGCTTTTTAATGAGGTAGATGGTGTGTTCATGTCTCCTATGTAACATTTATTTCTCACTCGAAAAATAGTACATTTGTATTTTGAGACATTAGAAAACAGTGTAAATATAAATACAAAAATCCCCCATCGCCTTTCCTTCTAGTCTTTTTCTATCCATGTATAAGTGCTCCCTTTATGGAGGTACTTCATGTGTATCAGCTACTGTGCTAAGCATTAATCTGGTCTGATTCTCACAACTCTCTGAGACAGAAAGACGTTATCACCATAGTAACAAGGAAACCTGCACTCAGATAGGTTAAATGACTAGCCCAGGTTCACGCAGCGGGTTGATGGCAGAGCTGAGATTTTAATAATAGCAGATTCCAAAGCCTTATGCTACACTGTCTGTGTGGGTATATACACATTTTACGCTGTTGTGCTACCACATATGTCCTTTGTAGCCATTTTTTAAAATCACAATAAACATCATTTTACCAATGAACTGTCATTCTTTAGGAACTTTAACATTTTTTCTAACTATAAAATATTCTTTCTATAGAAAATATGGAAAATATTTTTTTAAAAGTCCCATAATCCCACAATCAAGAGTCTACATTAATATTTCAGTATTTCCTTTCTATATTTTATTCTACTGAGAGAAACAAGATATGGTATTGGTTTCCAGAAGATTTGTACTGATTTGGATCTCGCCAATAGTCAGTCCTGTTTCACCTCACTAACATTGGATGCTATCATGTTAATCTCTGTTAATCCAATAGACATGAATAAATTTTACTGCTTTAATCAACACCGTTATTGCTAATGAATCTGAATTTATTTTTAAATGTTTATAGGATATTTTTATTTATTCATTGAATCTTATGGCCTTTGCATAGTTTTCAGTTCATCTTGTTGATTTCTAAGAGGTCTCGATATATTAAGGAATTAACTGTTTTCTATATATTTGTTGAACCTGCTTTTCCACTTTCTCATTTTGTCTTTTAAACTTGCTTATCACTTGCGAGTTCTAAATGCACATAGGTGGGAAAACATGAGTACCTTTGTCTAGGGACAAAACATTTGGGAGTGGTTAATGATTTTATGGGGATCTTGGAGAGAGAGATGAGCTTCGTGGATGAGAAAACTAAGTCTTAAAGATATCAAGTCAGGATTCTAATGTTAGATAATATGTCAGTCTCTAGTAAAGGATGTCCCACCCACATCTAACTCTGAGAGCTATAAACAAACACTATAAAATGCAATCAGCTGTGACTTTGGACCCCCTTCTGTGGTGGCTCATGTGAAGCCACCAGTGGCTCCACACATCTCCAGCTCCATAACTTGTTCCTTTCTTTCCCATGCTCTGAACCTCAGAAAGAGTACCAGGTGAGTAGGTTTCAGCTTCTTAGTCCACCATTCCTGATTTCTGGAACATATTTCCAAATCACAGTGCCAGAACAGAGAGGACAAATATAATTTCAATAAACAGCTCTATAATTTATTAGTTAACATTAACTCAAACAATGTCACCAAAAGCTCCCACAGGGCAGCAATTCCTGGAAGCTTTCTCTCTAAGCAGACTCAAGTTAGCCTTTTCATGCCTAAGTCATATTTGTCTTTATTTTCAATACGCATCTTCTGTATTCAGCCCAAACCTCTCTCAGACTCAGATCTTCTACCAAGAAGTTAAGTTGATCTCGTGTATTCCCGCTCCTAAAACTGTTTACTTCATTCACTTGTGAGACTCGCTTGCCATCCACTCACTTACCGTGAGTTGGTAACACTTTTACCATATTAACCAACAATGGAGTATGGACAGTACATTCTGAAGGAAGCCCTTAGGGCTCTCTAGTCATATTTTCCCAAAACAGTCCATTAAACACCCTCTTGTGGATGCAGACCTTGCCGTGGTTCTGCCCGTTCTCACTCCTTGTTCTCCCCTCACCTAATGTCTGGCTGGCCTGCCATTTTCTCTAAATTTACTAACTCGATTCCCTTTGTTTCTACTAGCTGCTCTCAATGCTGTCTTTTTGTTATGAGTAGGTGTCTGAATAAATCCCCCCCACAATCAATACTTCTCAGTCAGTTGTACTCATAGCACAAATGTTGCCCCAAGAAAAGCGAAAACTACATTTCACTGTCGCAAGTCACAAAGTGTCTCTCCGTTTGTCCAGGTTGTGATAATGCGGGATTACCACCATGACAATGTGGTCGACATGTACAATAGCTACCTTGTCGGTGACGAGCTCTGGGTGGTCATGGAATTTCTAGAAGGTGGTGCCTTGACAGACATCGTTACTCATACCAGGTAAGTTTCTTTATTATTCAGATGTATAATTTAAGGTACTTATTATTCTCCTCCAGAGTGAAGTCTCACTGACTATCTTTACGAACTCTTCATAAATTGTAAACACTTTGAAGTCAAAGACCATGACTACCCTTTTCCTCTCTATTCCCCAAGTGCCTATTATAATGTCACCTATGTATCGCTCATTCTTCAATTAACATTCTCCCTGCCCCCCAGAAGTTCATTAATACCCATTGATTTTAAATCATCAGGCGGCTGAGAATGGTGTTTTGGTAACAAATAATAGAATTTCCTATCCCTAGATTTTTTTAAATTAAGTTTCATTCTTCTGAGTTGCCATGCTGTTGCTATGTGTCGATACCACCAAGGGTAACTGGAGAAGGTAGGGGCAGGTGGAAGGTCAGTCAAAATTTTACGTCATAATAACAAACCTATATAACAGAGAGATATCCTTCAATCCTGTTTTTAAAGAGTCTTGCGTGTAACACTGGTTAATTATCATTGTTCTCAGCTACTTGCTTTCCTGATGTGTCAGTTGTGGTCATTTCATCAAGTGTTTATCAATCACCTTTTATGTGCAGGGCTCTTTCCTAAGTGCTGGGGATACAAAAGACACAAATGAATAAGGCTCAGAAACATTCCCTCAAGGAAGTCACAGATTAAAAATAAATACATTATATACCCGTGCAGAATTAGAAAGATGTATAGAAGTAGCATAGAAGAATACCTGAATTTCTCTTTCAGGGAGAGTCATGAAAGGTTTCCAGTATAAGGTGATATCTAAGATGGGTTTTGAGGGATGAATAGGAGTTTACTAAGACAGAAAGTGGGAGCAAAAGGGCACTGAAGGCACATGAAACAGTGCCAAGCTTTAGGTTCTGGGAATCAGATCCCAAAGACTTCTTGCCTGTAGATTTTTCAGATGTGGGCTGGTTCACTAGAACCCAAGGGACCTGCCTCTCCTGACCATTTCAAAGATGTTTTTAAACCTGTCCTTGCTCCTTAAATGTTATTTCCTTTCTAGAATGAATGAAGAACAGATAGCTACTGTGTGTCTGTCAGTTCTGAGAGCTCTCTCCTACCTTCACAATCAAGGAGTGATTCACAGGGACATAAAGAGTGACTCCATCCTCCTGACAAGTGACGGTCGGGTAAGATTTTTCAAGTTTGGCCCCTCCATGGTTTGCCTTGTCACTTCGTCTGTCACAGGCATTGTCCTCCTAGGAAAACTTTCTCATAATTCTAATTTTTAGTCCCAATTCACCCACTGCCCTTCACAGAAGGCTTACAAAAAGGAAATTACGATCTTTTGTGTCATCCTGTTAGAATTATCTGTGACTTGAATTTGATGGATAATTTTCTGCCTTAACAATGAGTGTAGGAAGTAATAAAAACTATGGAAATTACTTTTCTTTTTCTGCCATGCTCTCATTTTTGTTGGAGAAGATGACTTTTTCTAGGGCTTTATCCACCCTATTTGTGTGACTATGCATGTCTGCAGTATCTCTGAGTCCCTGCAGGAAACAAATGACAAATTCCAGTGGGCAGTTTGAGCAGAGTTTAATAAAGGTGGGGACAGATGTAGAAGAGTTGTAAGGAACCGTGCATGAGGATTAGTGTGGTTCTCAGAAATGCAGCAGCACTTTCACTACCCCGTGCCTGGAGAGGTGAGGCAGGGAACCAGTTACTAGAACCTGGAAGTAGAGATGATTGTGTGAAGAGGGCTGCAGGGCAAGAGCTCTGATCTTCAGTGGAAGCCAGACCACAGTGAAACTGCAGGTTGGGAACTGGGGATTTAAATACCCCAACCTCACTCTTCCTTCCTTCCAATCTCCTGCTGGTGCTCCCCATTGGCGGAACCTGGTCAGAGGCCGTCAGTATACTCAAGGCAGGTTGGCCTCCCAGGGTTCAGAGAAAGGAGGAGAGTAGATCTAGAAGGACAAATGGAATATATATATCATGCCAGCATATCTCCAGGCCCAGATTTGCACATTTCCCATCACTGCAACTTACACAAGGGATTCTGTTGAAACTCATCAGCCATACCAGGGTACAAAAGAACAGAATACAACAGCCAAGGAGAGAATGAGTTGACATTCCAAAGAAGGCTTAGTTAGAAGGGAGCATTTTGAAGCATAGATTTTTCTCTATTTTGTCCCTTTTCGAAACTCCCAGCAGAGGTAATAGTTCTGGGATGAATAGAGCCAGCTGTCCCTTCGATGGACTTGTCTGTTACAACCAAATAACTTCAGCCATATAGAAAGTATTCATGTCACATCAGAATTTGCCCAGGAATGACCAGAGGGCAGCCAGAGAAACTGCCCAGGCACTTCGACTTTTCTTCTTTTATTTTAAAAAGATAGCCAATTGTATTGTGGAAAATTCAGTCAATTCAGAAAAATATAAAAGGTAAAATAAAGATCACCTTTAATCCTATTTTCTACTTTTCCCATATTTTCATGTATGTATATACAGAATTTGCAAATTTGAGATTATGTTATAATAGGCAGTTTGAAGCCCTGCTTTTTGCATTGCTCTGGCCGATATTTTTTTTTAAAAGGGTATGGAAGTATGTAGCAGTGAGCTTTTGCTACATAACAAACCACTCTACACTTAGTGGTTTAAAACGTCCTTTATTTGCTTATAATTCTGAGTCAGCGTATGAGCTGACCTCAGCTGGGACAGCTCACCTCCATTCCATGTAGCATCAGCTGAACTCACTCCTGCATTTGTGGTCAGCCTGCAACTGATGGCCTCACTCATTTGCCTGGCGCTTGGCTGGCTCACAGCCAGGGCAGTGGAGGTAACTGGGCCATGTGTCACTCATCTCCCAGCAGACTAGCCCATGCTTATTCACATGGCGCTATGGCAGAGTTCCCAAGAGCAGCAAGAGAGGCAAGCCCCAATGCGCATGCGCTTTTGAACCCTCTGCTTATATCTTGTTTGCTAATGTCTCTTTGGCTAAAATAAGTCGCACAGTCAAGCCTAGATGTAGAGGGTGAAGAAATGAACTTCACCTTTGGTTGGGAGAAGATATAAAGTCTCAGTGCAAAGGGATGTGGATACAGGGAGGGGAAGGATATGTAGCCATTTTTGCATGATCTCCCATAGAATGAGGGAACTACAGGAAAAAGGCAGGAACTCTCCCCTGGTCGACTCAGGGAAGCACTGAGACGAGGCCCCACGACCTCAGAACACAATTTGCAAAGCATTGAACTGGTCCAAAAATTGATTCTGGGCACTGGTGCTTGCAGAAAAAACAAAGCAGGGCAGGTTCAACCCAGGCTTTCTTTCAGTTTCTAGAGACTAATGACAAAGGCTTTCTTGCTGTAAATACATGTCAGATGTCAAAATCAGACATGAGACTAAAATAATAATTCATTGTTTAATAAGCTTACTTAAATACTTGCCCTCCGAACAATGTGAGATAGGTTATTAAATCATTCAGCAACATTCTCAAGGGCAGAACCTATGTTTCAAACATCTCCCGTATTTTCATGCACCCAACAAAGAGCTCACAGAGACTGGCACCGTGTAAGTGCTTTTAGTCTTACTGGTTTGTTCAGTCGCTCATTCAGTTAATACTAGCCAAAGTCTACTATGTGTCAGCAATGGTTCTAGGCCCTAAGGATGAACAAAGCAAAATCACTACTTTCATTAAGCTTATTAGGGGCATGGAGGTGTGATAGTAAACAAACAGATAAATACACCAATAAAATCACCAGCAGACAGGCAGTGATGAGTGCTCCATTTGCTGTAATTAATTAATTTAAGCATGATTAGGAGGGTAGAGTGTGATGGAGTGGGGGGTAGGGGGGGCGGGAGGAGTCCGTTATTGAGGCCAGTCAGAGAAGGCCTTTCTGAAGTGGTGACATTACAGCAGAGACGTGCTAGGCAGTGGAGCCTGTGGCTCTCAAGGATGAGAGTGTTCCAGGAAGAGAAAACCAACAGCATGTTAAGCAGATCTTGCAGCTCTTGGCCAGAGTGGGCTCATTCACATTTCAGAATAAGGCACCATATTGACTTTAATGGGCTTCTTCAGTTTCTATAAAGGAAACTTTTTTTAGATGGAATGTGTCTACTGTAAGAAAAGGCTGAGCGTACAGTTTATACCAATATATTAGAGCATAGAGTTTAATAGAGGAGAGAACTTTTTCATTTATTTATTGTCATTATAACTAATCCCCCTCAACCCTTAGGGTCTTAAATTAAAGTAATTTTAGCATTCTCACATAGCTCTGAGTTGCCTTGGCTCAGCTAGCCAGGCCGCTCTGACGTAGGGTTAGATGATGCACCTAGAAGTCTCCTCAGTCACATGTCAGGTAGTTAGTACTGGCCGATTGCTGGGCACTCAGCTGGAGCTGTCAGCCAGAACACTTACAATCGTGGCCTGTCTGTGTGGCCTTCCTCATAACATGGAGGCTGGTTTCCAAGAGTAAATGCCCCAAGAAAACAAGGCGGAAGTGCATGGCATTTTTATGACCTAGCCTCAAAATCACATAGTGTCACTGCTACCATGGTCGACAGTCCTTTCAGATTTGGGCGGGGAGTGGGGAGAATTTAAAACCTTCTTCCGTAAGAGGAATATGGTAATATTAAGAATCAAATCTAGATTCAGTGGACATATGGTAATTATGTTACAATAATAAATCATAAATGTTATAATATAATAATAAATTGATATAATATGGTAATCAATATTACCATAAATTTGCTTGATTCAGTCATATGGTAAGAAGAGTTCATGGACTGGGCAGTATTGTTGTTGGCATGTTGGGAAAATATCTGTCACACAAGGTGTCCTGGGTTTGCTTTCTTTTGGGAAATGTTCAACATCATTAGTCCTTAGAGAAATGCCAGTTAAAACTACAAGGTATCACTACACGCTTATCAAAAAGGCTAAAATGAAAAATAGTGAAAACACCACTTATTCATACATTGCTGATAGGAATGTAAAACGATACAGCCACTCTGAAAAGTAGTTAGGCAGTTCCTCTCACGACTAAAAATGGGCTTGCCATGTGACCAGCAATTACACTCTTTGGCGTATATTTCAGAGACATGAAAATTTATTTCTGCACAAAATCTTGTATACCAATGTTTACAGCAGTTTTATTTTTAATAGCCCCAAACTAGAAGCTACCCAAATGTCCGTGAAAGTGTGAATGGTTGAACAGAGTGTAGTGTATCTATACCATGGAATACCACCCAGTGGAAAAAAAAGAAGAGGAAGAACGAATAAGTAATACTTGGATGAACTTCAAGGAAATTATGCTGAGTGAAAAAAAAGCCAATCTCAACGAGATATACACTGCATAATTCCATTTATATACATTTGTGAAATAACATAATTATAAGGATATACAGCAAATTAGTGGATGCCAGGGGTTAGGGATTAGGATTGTGTGGCTATAAAGATATAACACAAGAGAGTCTTATAGCGATGGTGTAGTTGAGTGTCTTCATTGTGGTCGTGGTCATGCAAGGTGACAATGTAATAAAATCGCAGAGTATATACACACATACATTCTACACACACAAATGAGTTCATATATACTTGGTTAAATCTGAGTAATCTCTATGAAAAGTGTTGATATTGAACTAGTTGTGTAAGATACTAACATTAGAGAGGACAGGTACACGTTTCTTTGCAACTGCCCAATTATTTTGAAATAAAAAAATTTTTAAGACAGAAGATTGCTCAGGTTTTAAAGGATAAATCATATCTGGCTTGTTCAAAAACTAGAAGGGAAATTAGTTGCTATCAACTAATTTGAAAGTAAATTGTTCACTATTTGTCCATGGCAGAAATAATATCAAGTGAGTCTTAAGCAGGGGAATGTGGTATTTGGGTTTCGAAAGGAAAAATAAATAGCATGTCACAGAGTGGTTGTAAGAATTACATGAAGTAATTTATATCAAACCATCAGAGAGAAACAAGGTAAAAGGTAGATGCTCAGAGAAAGGGTGATCCCCACCCCACCCTTGCAATTAAGGGTTGAGGAAATTCATCCACAATCTTTCCTTGGCCAGAAACAATGCAACGTGTCTGCATCCTCTCTCCCACAGGATTTGAAGCGAGGATAAAAGGGTAGGTCAGGATGCACAGACTGGCAGGCAGGGCTTTACGACTGTTCCACGCCCTCTTCAC